TTCCTTTTAGGTTTTAGTAAGTTCCTTGAATATCCTTATAACCACTGTTATGAATTTTGTATATAGTAGTTTGTTTGCTTCCATTTCATTTAGTTCTTTTCCTGGAGAGTTATTCCATTCTTTCATAGGTGACATGCTTGTTTCCGCATTTTGCTGCTTCCCTGTTTGTTAGAGCCCCTATGAATCCTGGAATCAGTAGAGCGGCCTTGTGCAGTAGGTGTCTTGTAGGGCCCATTGGCTCAGCCTCCCAAATCACCTGAGCTGCAAATTCTAGGTGCTCCCTTGTTTAAACTGTGTGCACTGTCCTGCTGTTGGTGCCACTGGAAGGGACTGACGCTCCAGGCCAATGGGCTGTGAGAACCAGCTGCCATCACAGTGGAAGAGCTGCTGTGTAGGAGATGCCTCTATGGAGTAGGACTTGCTTCAGTGGAACTTGGGTGCTCACTGAGTCTGCCCCATGAGTGTGTTGCTCATGGATGTGGTAGGTGTCCATTTTCAACTAACAGCGGTTAATTATTGTTTTTAGACCATAAAACTTTGAGTATTTTCCAACCTGGCGGCTGGCAGAACTGGAGTGAGGAAGAGAGTGTAAGGGAATGAGAGGGGAGTGTGTAGATGTGCGGGTCTGTGTGTAAAACAGATCTCACAGGAGTCTTGGGGGCAGGCTGTTCAGGCTTTCCTGGACAAAGAGCCCCTGCCACAGCCACAGGCACTCTCTAGACAGGTGGGGCTCTAGATCAGAAACCACAGCATCTTGAAAGGGGGAGCAGCAGAAGCCAGAGCCCAGCCTCGCCACCAACCAGACTAGCCTTGGATACCACCCTGGACCTCACAGTGAGTTGAACGCCAGCGGGACATTGCACAGGCTCCCACCACAGGATTCCCATCCAGACATGCTGTGAGGCAAAAGCCAGAAGGACCCTGAGTGCCTGCAACTGACACCTGCAAGGCCAGTTCTGTGGGGGAAAGAAGTACAGCTCAGAACAGGGGCAATCAAGGTGTGAGACTCAGGGAAGATCTAACCTCTGGGCAAAGGAGTCACCAACCACTAGATTACTAGGGGCTTCAACCTCTGGGACTTCAATCAGGATGCTCAGGGCCAGAAGAAACAGTGACTTATTAACCTATACTGGAGCAATTCCCAGGAAGTGCAGGTCCACCAAGGGACCAGACTCAACAACATCAGAGCAAAGTCTAGAGGCCCACAAATATTGGAACCAAAGGAATTTGATATTGTGTGTGTGTGTGTGTGTTTTCGGGCTGTGTATTTTTTTTTTTTTTTTTTTTGCTGTTTCTCCTTTTTTTTTCTTTCTTCTTGCATATCTCAAATTTCTCTTTCCTGCGATTCTATTCTACTGTAGCCTATTCTTTTTAAAAATATATTTTTATTGACTTTAGAAGGAAATGGAGAGGGAGAGAAAGAGAAACATCAATGAGAGAATCATTGACAGGCTTCTTCCTGCACACCCCCCATGGGGGAGTGAGCCCACAATTCAGGCATGTGCCCTCGGCCGGAACTGAACCTGAGACTCATCAGTCCACAGGCTGACACTCTATCCACTGAGCCAAACTGGCCAGGGCTAGCCTATTCTTATTATTTTTCTTCTTTCTCATTTCTTTCATTTTACTATCTGTATTTTAATATACCATTACTACATTTTAAATTCATTATTATTACTTCACTTATTTTGTTTCCTCTTCTTTTTTCCTTCTATACTAGATCTTTTAGCTTTCTTCTTGCTTCCATATAGACACTTTTTCAGCTTCTTTCTCCTTTTTCTTTACATCTCCTCTAAGTTTTTGATCATGTGTCTTTTAGTATATTTTTTATTTTTTCTTCCCTTTGCTTTCTCTTATTTTTCCTTCTTATTTATCCTGTTGTTGCTGCAGTGAGTAGCTTAATTTATGTGGTCTTTGGTTTGGCCCTGTTGTGTCTTATTCTGTTCCCCCATCAGCACATATAGAACAACTGGCATGATGACACTGGGGTTGAACCTCATTGACAGCAAATCAGAAGGAAGATCCTTCCTACAAATGGGACACCAACAATCAAGTTCCAATTACAACAGGCGAGCCCAAATAACACACACAAGGGGCATTCCTGAAGCATACCACTCAGGTGAACGAAGAGACTGCACCACTGGGCTCTCAAGACACTTTCTACATTAGGCAATCCCACAAATGCTGGGAGGAATAACGGTTATATCTAACATATAAAAGCAAATACAAAGAGACAGCTAAAATGAGGAGATAAAGAAGCAATCCCCAAATGGGGAAAAAGAAGGAATCTCCAGAAAAAGAACTAAGTGAAATGGAGGCAAGCAACCTATCAGACACAGAGCTCAAAGCTGTGGAGCATAGACACAGGGTTCGGACAGGCTCAAGCCTCAGACTGACTTGTGGCAAACTCACATACAAGTTGCAGCTGGGAGGGCACAGCCCTCGCAGCACAATTATAGCCAAAAGGCTATGGGTGTAAGCTTGACCTTAGAGTCCGACCCTGCAGTCCTCGGTCCTCGGTAGCTGGGGGATAAGGGATGTGGGCTGTGGGCTGCGGGGGGGAAGGCGGGGAGGTGATGGTGGTGGCAGCAGCAAGTGCTGCCTAAATGAAGCTTGAAACAGTTCAGAGAATGGCAACAGGAAAGATGCAGATTGAAATTCGCAAGAACACTGTAAACATCTTGTCCTTGTTTTATGTGATCTGACTATAAAATAAAGCTTTGACTTACAGGCTGTGTCACTGTTTCCTCATCCAGGCACTGTGATCCTACTTGGCCCCAACTGTATTCTCTTATCTGTATTATTTAATCCTTTACCACCCCTCCTCAAGTTCACCCCTGGCCATCCTGAATGTGGTTCACAAAGCAATGGTATAAAGATGCTTAAGGGAGTTGGTGCAAATTGCAACAGCATGAAAAGGAAAATAGAGGCCATGAACAAGAACCATACAGAAGTGAAGAATTATATATCTTATATCAAGAACACAGTGGTGTGGAAATCACAGACTTTTTAAGGACAAGAAGTCTTTGACCATGGAGGTAGACAGCTATCCCAAGACAATGCCATCAAGGCCTATATGCTCACAAATTGATATTGCTTATTTTTATATCATCTTATTGATATTGACTGAATGTACATAAAATAATTTTCATTTTATTATTATCCTCATGGTTTCCTAGACCTCTTCCTTTATTAGATATGAAAATTTTAACTTGGATACCTGCTAATCTTTTTTACTTACTACTCAATGATGTTCTGATTATCAGGTATGATAGTGAAATTAATGCTTTGTTAGCAACACGTTGGTCTTCTCCTACTATCAATATAAGCTTTAGTTGTTGTTTAAAAAACAACAAACACACACAAACAAAAAAAGAACACACTGGAGCCCTAACTGGTTTGGCTCAGTGGATAGAGCATTGGCCTGCGGATTGAAGAGTTCCAGGTTCGATTCTGGTCAAGGGCATGTACCTTGGTTGCAGGCACATCCCCAGTAGGAGGCGTGTAGGAGGCAGCTAATCGATGTTTCTCTCTTTCATGGATGTTTCTAGCTCTCTATCCCTCTCCCTTCCTCTCTGTAAAAAAATCAACAAAACATAAAAATAAAAACACTGGAGGATATGAAAAGTAGACTGAATGAAGCAGAGGATCTAATCAGTGATTTGGAAGACAAGGTAGAAATAAATACCCAATTAGAACAGCAAATAGAAAAAATAATTAAAAGGCAGGAAGGTAGCTAATGGAAACTCTGGGACAACATGAAAGGTACAACATCCGAATTATCCTAATAAAAGAGTAATATGCGAATTGACCGTCACTCCAACACACAAGATGGCTGCCCTCATGTGGACACAAGAAGGCCAGCAGAGGAGGGCAGTTGGGGGAGACCAAGCTTGTAGGGGAGGGAAGTTGGGTGGAGGAGGACCAGGCCTTCAGGGTAGGGCAGTTAGGGTGACCAGGCCAGCAGAAGAGGGCAGTTAGGGGTGACTGGGCCAGCAGGGGAGGGCAGTTGTGGGAGGGGTCCAGGCCTGCAGGGGAGGGTGGTTAGGGGCAATCAGGCCAGCAGGGGAGCTGTTAGGCATCTATCAGGTGGTCAAGGGAGAGGTTAGGGGTGATCAGGCTGGCAGGCATAAGTGGTTAGGGGCAATCAGGCAGAGAGGCAGGCGAGTGGTTGGGAGCCAGCAGTCCTGGATTGTGAGAGGGATGTCCCTCCCAGATTGGAGAGGGTGCAGACTGGGCTGAGGGACACCCCCCTCCCCGTGCACTAATTTTGTGCACCAGGCCTCTAGTAGACTATAAAGTTTCCAACAATTAAGTTATTAATGGGTGAATTAGGGGATGGATGGGGCAGAGGTTGGATAATGACAAAGCTTGTGTCCTTTTAAAATTTACTCTAACAAGGTATAGCCAGTTTGGCATAATGGATAGGGCATCGACCCAAGGACTGAAGAGTCCCAGGTTCAATTCCAGTCAAGGGCATGTACCTCAGTTGCAGGCTCGATTCCTGGCTCCAATTGGAGCACGTGCAGGAGGCAACCAATTGATGCTGTGTCTTTCTCACATTGATGTTTTTCTCTGTCTCTCCCTTCCCACTCTCTAAAACATCAATGGAAGAGTATTCTTGGGTGAGGATTAACAAAAACAAACAACAAATTATCTAACAGGATTTTTAGGGAACACTTAAGATTCTTAACATTTGGAATAACAGATGCTTTTGAGTCTTATGAAAATAATTGACCCTCTTTAGAATACACATGTGAGCATAAATGCAATGTTCCTCAGCCCATTTTAGGCGGTTTATAGACCTACTGAGGCCATCCATGGACCTGCTGCCCCTAGAAGGAGAGAATACTGCACTTGGCTAAACATACAGTTTGAATCTTAAATTTGAAGTTCACATATATGTGGTTATTCCAATGTTATTTAGGAAAAATATAATTCCAACTATGAATGCCAACAGAATTTTATAATACAAAATCCTACATGTAAAATAAACTTACCTCAAAATTCACAGGCAAGTTCCGTTTAAGTGCAATCTCAAACACTTGACTTATTTCAGATTTATTGAGATTTTCTTCCTCTGATTCTCTTCCATTCACCTAAAAGAATAATTGTTTAGTAGTTAACTCTTATTTAAACATCAACATCCCAAGCTGTGATAAATCTTAAACACACTGACCCTTGGCTTTATGGATTGAGCATCAAATCAGTAAGAACAAGGCCACACGCTACCATTTGTCAGTGAATTTAAAAGGTTAAAAAAAATGTTCTATCAAACTTAGGTCAGATACACCTCATAAATCCACCATAAACAATGTGCACACTGTGGACTTTGGGTATGAAATCAGCCTCATCATGGCATAGCGAGATGCCCTGGCTGCTCAGGCAGAGTGACTTCTAAAGCCCTTCTCAAGGACTGGCAAAGGAAAAAGTCAAAATACAGGCAGACTTGTGTGGGACTTGGCAAGTTCAAATATAAATCTCTCTACCTAACGTTTCTTATCTGGACATGAAGTCCTTGGAAACCACTTTTTCCAAAAGGATGCAGTGGAACTATTATAAAATTGCCAAGCATCTCATACTTACTACTGCTGGTAAAAATAAAAAACTAATGAAGTCTCCTGAACAAAGGCTGAAACTCTATTATCTGTAACCAGGTTCATTACAGTCCTCCAGCCAGGGCCTGAGCCTAAAAGAGGGACAGAGATCAATTCTGTGCATGCTGATAACATGATTCTATGAAAACATAAAAAATTAGATATGCTTGGTAATAGCAAAGTGTCCCCAAAACATGGCAAGAAAGCTGTGCTTTTCCTCATATTATTGGGACTCCGTAGTCATAAAATTGTAAAACCCCACTTCCAAGATCTGAACTATCTGACAGGAACTTGTGGCTGAAATTGTTGAGTGGGCAAGGTGTATAGAACCATCCAGGATTTTCTTACGTCTTAACAAGTAGATGCTACACCTACACTGGATCATTATTTAAGGTGTAACTAAAAGAAATAAAACTGAAAGTTTAAAAAAAATACAATCAAGAATATAATCCTGTATAAATAAGTTTACCCCAGGTACTATTTATAATGCTTTCTCTATCATCTAATGTTCTTCCAATATGGTTTCATGTCACTCTCTGCCTGGTCAAAACTAGTTGCAGAGTATTTCTGGTGGTTTATTAAGCTAAACACACTTTTATTCTTGTTGTTTAAACCCTCAGGAGAAAGAAGGCCTGCCTTTTTACAAGTGAATCCTTAAAGCCAGAAATCGTCAAGCAAAGTACCTTAAAAGGTGTAGGTTTCAGAGAAGTTTGGGTTGATATTTATTTGTTAAATAGGTTTTAAACTAAAAAGAAAAATACTATATTTTAAAGTTAAGTATGTTCAATAAATGGTGCTGGAAAAATCAGATATTCACACGCAAAAAAATGAAGTTGGACCCTTACCTTACATCATATACAAAAATTAACTCAAGATGGATCAAAGACCTAAACATAAGAGCAAAAATTATAATAAAATTCTTAGAAGAAAACATTGGGAAAAGTTTCATGACACTGGGTTTGGCATGACTTCTTGGATATAACACCAAAAGCATGGGCAACAAAAGAAACAAATAAATTGAATGTCATAAAAATTAAACACTTTCGTGCATTAAAGGACACTATCAACAGAATAAAGACAACCTACAGAATAGGAGAAAATATATCTGATAAAAAACTGATATACAGAAAAGAACTTCGAAAAAATCAACAACAACAAACAACCCAACTCAAATATAAGAAAGGCTTTGACTAGACATGTCTCTAAAGAAGATATGATGGCCAAAAAGCATGTGAAATAATGCTCAACATTACTAGGGAAATGCAAATCAAAACCACAATGAGATACCACTTTACTCCCATAAGAATGGCCACAGAAAATAGCAAGTGTTGACAGGGATGTGCAGAAATTGGAACCCTTCTATGTTGCTGGTGAGAATGTAAAATGGTGCAAGCCTCTGTGGAAAAGTTTGGTGGTTTCTCAAAAAGTTAAAACACAGATTTACAATATGAGCCAGCAATTCCACTTCTAGCTCTATACTCAAAAGAATTTAAAGTAGGGACTCAAACAGATACCTATTAGCAACATTATTCACAATCACTAAAAGGTGAACACCCAAACATCCATCAACAGATGAATGGCTAAGCAAAATGTGGCATAGTCATACAGTGCAATATTATTCAGCCTTAAAAAGGAATTAAATTTTGAAAACATGCTACACCATGGATGAAAACATTATGATACCTTGAAAACATTATGATAAATGAAATAAGCCAAACACAAAAGATAAATTTATCTATTTAGATGGTGTATCTAGAACAGGCAAGTGCATAGAGACAGAAGAATAGAGGTTATCAGGGAATGGGGATGAGACAGGGCAAGTTACTGTTTAACAGGTGCAGAGTTTCTATGTGGAATGATGAAAAAGTACTGTAAATGACTAGTGGTGATAGTTGCACAACATTGAGAATATATTTAATGCCAAAGAACAGTACACTTAAAAAATGGTCAAAATGGTAACCTTTATGTTAATGTATATTTTATCTTAATGTTTTTAAAGCAGCAAAAAGTATGTTTCACACCAAGTATTAACACAAAGAAGTCTAGTCAGCACATTAACTTGTGCTAACAGGTTAACCCACTTTTGTGCACAAAAGAATTTTTGACAGCTATATTTATTTGAAGAGTATCCAGAAACTTTTTAAAATAAATTAACTTTTTAAAAAATTATAAACTCTCATGCTAAGTAACTGTATCAATGAGTATGTTCTCCTTATGTGCAACCAGAACAAAAGTTGGAAATAAACTAGGTAGTGAGGCTGATATAAGACATCAATTGCCATGCTTGTGCCCAATTTTCAATGTTTTTGTTCATTATTACCAGTCCAATTAATTTTAACTTTTATTTTTAATTATGACCTATTTCAAACATACAGGAAAGGAAAGTATAAACAATGTAACAGGCAACTGTGCTGGATTTAACAAATGTCAACATTAAGTACTATTGACATTAAATTTTTTTTAATAAGGAATATAATGAAGCCCTTTTCGTTCTCCTTCCCAAGGCAGAGTTAACCACTATTCTAAAATTAGACTATCTTTCCCAGACATGTGTGCTTTTTAATGGATGAAAACAATATATATAAAATTCTGTGGTGTAAAAAAAAAATCACATAAGTTGTTTTAATTGACTGTCTTAATAAATCTTATAAAATTCAAATTTTTAAGTTTACACTAATGAAATGTTACTTTTCTTTTTTTATAGATTGAAGTTCCACATAGGTGTGATAGAACACAGTAGTCTACTGCTAAATCTAAACTCTAAGCTAGTGGCTCTCAACCACAGTAATATTAGAATTACTTTGGAGCTTTACAAAGACAGCAGTCGGAGCCCCATTCAAACAAATAAATCCAAATTTTTATAGGTAGGGCTTGAATATACTTTTTTTTTTTTACAGCATTTTTTTGTTTGTTCGTTTTTAAAATCCCCAGGTGACTTTACTAGCAACCAGAGTTGAGATTCACTGCTCTAAGCCATTGCTTCCAAGGGAATTTCAATAGGAACAAAGCAGCCAGTAAAATAAAAATGCAAAAGAGAAAACAAGGATATACATTTATTTGAAAGTGAGATTATGTTGCTCTTTTACATAATTTTGATTTTATCTAAATTGCACAAAATGTTGCAATGGGGAAGCAGCAAATGACTCAAAACAAATCCACAAATACCATTCCCAGTAAGATGGGGAAAGTGTAGTAGGCCCTTAGTCTTACCTTCTTGAAGTGGGAATTACTGTTAACATCAATCCCATAGTGTATGGTACAGCAATAAAATCTAGGCAACATTAAGAAAAGAAAAAAACACTCTGAACCATGCTTAACCCTCATTATGCCAGGAAAAAATAGTTATCACCATTTACCATCTGGCTTCAATAGACGCTTTTGATTTTTCTATATTTCAAGTCATTTTACAAATAATATAGAATAAAGGATAACAAAAATCACTCCAAAAAGAATTCAAAATAGCAAACCCAAGTTTTTATCCCAGGTTTGTAGTTTGGAAGGCATATGCACTTGAAATGAGCAAGGTCCTTTTATACAACCAACTGCTCAACAGCTGGCAAACCTGAATCTAGAGTAAAGCCCACTTGTAATGATGCCAGATTTTAAATCCATCTCCAATAGGTTCTAGCTTATCGCAACTCTGATTTTTCTTGTACTGGTACTGTCAAAACACACTCTTGAAACCAACTCATAACTTTGTTGACGGAGAACAGCCATCTTCTTTGTTCCATAACTAAAAAAATGTTTTCATTTTTAGATTTAATAACCCCAAAGAAGGATCAATCTAATAGTGTGTTTTTTCATTGCTGTTATCATCTATCAATATTTCCTTCTAATCATCTCTGTATGTACTCTCCTCTAACATTTGTTCACTTATTTTGTGGATGAATAAGTGTTAAGAAATCCTGGTGCCCAAATGTCATAAAGGACCAAAGGATGTTGTCATACATACTTAAAAAAAAAAAAAAAAAAAAAATCAAAGCTGGATGGTCCAGGTTTTTATTGGAAAATATTGTGTGATGAAGTTCTTGCTGAATGACTAAAAGAGAACACGTTTCCTTTTCATACACCATATGAATATATTATTCATTCGCTGATAGTTGAGTATGGGAAAACTTATCTAAGGTATCTTCTGAAGAGTCACAATTTGAGATTTTACTTAAACAATCTCACCATCGCAATTTGAGTCTAGAATGTTGCTATCTGTCTCTTTGCATTTATTTTCTGATTTGTCTTCCTCTGTCAATTTTCTTCTCTTTGCCAATACGAATGGAAAAAGAAAAATTCTGAATTCTCACCTGGGTTCAATGAATGCTAAAAGTAGAATAAAAAGATGGCATCTCTAGTCTTCTTTTGTATCTTCTTAAAAGACAATGCAATACATTAGGTAATATAATAAGAACATTAAAGGATGATGTAATAATGATAATTACTTTACTACTATATCATCTACCTAAAGATTTCATCATTCTTCCATTTTCTTATTATTTTAGTCTTGCTTA